CCCCAAAACCCCAAAACCCCGCAATCGGGCTTAAATGAAATGATCATAGAAAGAATAGTGAATTTATTAATAACACAATAAATGATATGAATTAGGTTTATTGAAAACATTCCCATAACTCTTTGTTCATCCGTCTCTTTGGTCACCGAAGGTGTCTTCCTCGTCGTTGGCGAATCTGGTGCCTGCAGCTTCCTTTCTTTGTTTCTTTATACCACTTACTATATCGTCTATTCTAAGTAACATGCAAGCTGATTCGATGGCAGTTTTGAATGTTTATTATTTGACAGCCAGGGGGTCCCAGACATTGGATTCTCTCATGTCTGCAATTTTGCCTGAGTTTCCATCAATACCGAAGTGAAGTCCTTCTCCAGCAACGGCGTGCTTTGCTCTCAATTCAGTCAAAACTCTGACGACATCAGCACCACAGTTTTGAGCAAGAGTTCTTGGGATTACCTCAAGAGCGCTGGCTAGAGCCTTGAATGGCCATTGTTGAGCTCCCTCAATGTTTTGAGCGAATTCGAGAAGTCTGCAAGAGAGTTCCATCTCAACAGCACCACCTCCTGGAATGAGCTTGGGGTTTAGCATAACGTTTCTGGCAACTCCGAGGGCATCATGCAAGTTTCTTTCAATTTCGTTCAAGACATCCTTTGAGGCTCCTCTTAGGATAATTGAGCAAGCGGTTGGATCTTCGCACTCAACCATGAATGAGAAGTAGTCATCACCAATCTTTCTTACTTCGAAGAGTCCGCACTTGGTTCCAACATCTGATTCTTAGAGTTCTTCTGGTCTGTTAACGATAGTAGCACCTGTAACTCTGGCGATTCTGTTGTTGTCGGTCTTTCTGGCTCTTCTGATGACTGAGCAGTTTCCGAACTTGAGTAGATAATGCTGAGCAATATCTGAAACACCTTTTTCAGTGATGACAACATCTGGCTTGACTCTCAAGATATCTTCACAGCACTTTCTTACTTCATCCTCTTCCATGGCAAGAGCCTTTTTGAAGTCTTCTTCCTTGGTGAATTCCATGTTGGTCATGGACTCTCCCTTTTTATATTCGAGTGGGCAATCTAAAAGAACGACTCTTGGGTTCTTGATGATTCTTCTCATGCCTGGGTGGGTAACGTCCTTGTTGAACATAACTCCGTCTAGGACTACGCAATCCTCAAGAAGACCACCTGGAATTTTTTCTACTTTAGCGTATCTCTTGACATCGATTTCGACGTGCTCACCGTCCTTCTTGTAGACAGTCTTGACTGCCTTAACAGCCAAGTCAACGATAAGGGATCCCCACTTGGATGAGAATTTAGTTCCAATGCAAGATGAGACGATCTTGAAGAGATCAGCATCGTTTTTGACATCGATAGGCTCCTATAATATTTATAAGTATTTAAAATTAACATAATGGAGGCAAATTCCAATGGTGAATCTTTTGACTACTTACTCCTAGTGTTTCAGTTAATCTAACGATTTCCTCAAGGGCTTTGAAGTAAGCGCTGACAATGACTGTAGGGTGGATTTCTCTCTCGAGGAAGCCTTCGACGGCAGTCAAGATCTCTCCGGCCAAGATGATGACAGAGGTGGTTCCATCACCAACTTCTTCATCTTGAGCTCTAGCTAATTCAATCATACTTTTGGCTGCTGGGTGAGCAACATCAATCTATATAAATTCAATTAGGGCCATGTTCGTCAAATATTTGTATTTAAGGGCGAATAGCTTACCTCTCTGAGAATAGCGTTGCCATCATTGGTAAGAACGATACCGCCCATTGGGTCTAGAAGCATCTTGAGCATGGACTTGGGTCCGAGGGTAGTTCTGACAATGTCGGAGACAGCCTATAAGTTATATTTAGAATTATTATGTAAAGCGTACTCTAGCAGCCTTGATGTTAGCAGCTTGGGCGTTCTTTCCTTGTTCTCTCTTAGCGCTTTGGTTAAGAATGTAAACTGGGGCTCTGTTTGACATAGTTTTTAAGTTAAAATGATTTAAAAATTACTAATCTATATCAAATAATATATTTCAAATGAGATCATTTTTATTAGTCTCAGGGGTTTTGGGGTTTTGGGGTGCTTGGTTTTAATTTTGGCTT